CCTAAAAAAGCCTGCCCAGTTCTGGAATAAGATTCTTTGGACTGATGAAACCAAGATTAACGTGTACCAGAATGATGGGAGGAGAAAGGTATGGAGAAGGAAAGGAACAGGTCATGATCGAAAACATACCACAGCATCTGTCAAACATGGTGGAGGCAGTGTTATGGCATGGGCATGTATGGCTGCCAATGGAACTGGTCACTGGTGTTTATTGATGACCTGACTCCTGATAAAAGCAGCAGGATGAATTCTGAAGTGTATAGGTAGGGCTATACTTTCTGCTCAGATTCAGCCAAATGCTGCCAAACTGATAGGACGCCACTTCATATTGCAGATGGATGATGAACCAAAACATACAGCAAAAGCTACCCAAGAGTTTCTCAAGGCAAAGAAATGGGATGTTCTTCAATGGCCAAGTCAGTCACCTGATCTCAACCCAATAGAGCATGCTTTTCACTTACTGAAGACAAGACTGAAGGCAGAAAGACCCACAAACATGGGATGTTCTTCAATGGCCAAGTCAGTCACCTGATCTCAACCCAATAGAGCATGCTTTTCACTTACTGAAGACAAGACTGAAGGCAGAAAGACCCACAAACCATTTGGTCATGTCCATGGGTTCTAGACTTCAGGCAGTCCTTGACTGCAAAGGATTTTCATCCAGGTATTAAAGGCGATCCTTATGTTTGTCATGATGTTGGTTTGTTCCATTACTTATGAGCCACCAACGATGGAGGTGTGTGTATGCCAGTGGCTGTACTTCCTGAATGATTAGTGCTCCACTTTTGTCAAACCCCTTGAATTACAGCTGAAAGCCCTGGGTGTGTTTCCTTTCAACTTCAATGTGGTGGTGTACAGAGGCCAAATGCCAAAACAGTTATCCAATATAACTGGGTCCTGACTGTATGCCATCAAACTGGTGTCAACTTCTAGCGACCACATACATTTTCTCTATACCATGAATATATTAGATATATGCTAAATTATCTGGAGAAACAAATATGGAAAATGGGCCATTTTATAAACAGTCTGCTAAACAGAAGAAATTGAACATTTTAGTGCATTTTACCAATTTTTGGATGAAATCACTGTTTCTTCTCAGATCAAGGCCATACAAATATTCGAGCAGGAATAAATTGCTCTTCTTTTCTGCTCCTACTTTATCTCCAATAATTGGAGTTTTAACTTTAAAAGAAAGCAGTTATTTGCATTTATAATAAATACAAAACATAAATAATTCAACTTTCAAATATCCCTGACCCAAGCCCTGGCTCAGTTGTTTTGAAATACAGATTTGTACAAACGTATACTAATATTGAATATCCAGAGTCGGGCATTAAAATGCTCTATCTAGCTCCCAAGGCATTTTTAAAAGAAAAGTAAGATTCTCCCTCTAAAGTTGTAATTATCACAGCTGGAATAGAGAAGCAAGGAATGAAGGCTGTAAGCAAGTAATGTTCATATTCTTTTAAGAAATCTGATTTATATATTACATTAAAATTATGGATCAATTTAGATGCTGTTTTTCATTTGTTGCAGTTGCATGAAAAGGTTGCCCTTTTTCTGACAAATTTAGGTAAGTAATGAAAGTGAAATAATATATTTCATGATCAACATACATCTTCATTTATTGCATAAATGAAGCTAACAGTATGCTGTATTATTTGTGTCTCTGTGTGACTGTATGTGTGTGTGTTCATCAAATCTACTATCCATCTGCCCATTCACCCAATTACCCATCCTACGGAGCAAGGATGCAAAGGAATAAGACCTGGAACAATTCCTTTTTCAGGTCTTGTAAAGCAGACAGTACTAAGCAAAGGAGGTAACTGCATAATACACTTGAACCCCTATGTAAGACAGTTTCATATATAGTATATCAAAAAGCTCTACTCACATGATTAGAATGGATTGCAACTGACTTTACCCTAAACTGCACAAAATAGGCTGTCAGAACTGGTTCTAAACCTGCACAGTCTATTTAAGAGCCATCAGTATGGGACAGACTTTGTAAAAAGCTGCAGATGTTTTTGCTATGTCACAAGGAGGTCACTCTTTGGCTCCAGACTGAAATTTTCCCCTCAATACATTAAAGAATACACATGCTGCTTTATTTCTCAGAGTTTGTTTACAACCAAGGATGTATGTGGCATGCATTGCCTAACTAGGTGCTTGAATTTTTCAGCTAGCATCTTTGGGACATATTAGTGTTGTATTTTCAGGCACTACTAATTTGCAGTGGGAAGGAAGGTTCCTCCAAACTGAACTCACTTTGAAACCTATCATCCAGCATTTTAGAATGTGATCTGTCAGGTTATGGTAGAAGGTACAAGAGGACCAAATGCAAGAGATACCATGTAGGAGCCAGGCCTTCTTTCGGTAAAACAATGTTTATTTGTTGGACATCTGAGTAGAATGTTTATAATCTTAGTACTTTTTTTTACAGCTATCTAGTTGCAGATAGCATCTGTATTAGCATCTGTTTCTAAAATTAGATCATATAGCCAAGTATGTGTAAGTCCTATCAGACTTTGATTTCTCCCACATCATCATATTTTTCACTTCATAAAATATCAGAAAATTTTGAATTGGCCTGTTTGGGTCCTAACTACTGTTGAGTTGCTGAGAGTACTACATGAGCCAATCCAGCTGAACAATAGAGGAACACAGCAAATTGTATTCAATCAGTGCTTCCACCACTCACACCCCATTTCATGTCCATGAAGTAATGATTTCATGTATGCTTGGCACTTTTTAAAAGCCCCTCAATGCTTCTGGGTCCAGATGCTCTCTCTCTATTCATTTACAAGCATCTCCAACTAGAAAACTGAAAGCATAACACTTTCTCTCTAAGAAGCAGGTAGAACCTGCAAGTTCCTTCCAGTGGATACTATCTGCCTGCACTACCTATCCCTCAGAGACTAGTGCTTTCCCTGAATACGGACTGCATTGTAAGCAAGATCTGTAACCAAGTTTACAAAGATATTTCTAGCCTTGTAGGGTGCGTGCAGTTTCCCCAAATCCAGCATCCAAATTTCAGTAAACATCTTGATTACAATTTCCTTTTTCATTACAGAGCAGCCTCGTACTGAATCTGAGTGGGAAAACAGCTTCACTTTGAAAATGTTTCTTTTTCAGTTTGTCAATCTGAACAGTTCTACCTTTTATATAGCATTTTTCCTTGGAAGGTAAGAGTAATTAATATGCTATCTGCTTGTTAATCATCATCATCATCATCTATCTGCTTGTTTGAAAAATTGTTGAAAATTATCAAGAAAATAATTTGCTTTGAATTAATGCTAAGTATGCCTTAAGTCGTAGAATACAGTATGTCCCTCAAACCTTCCTAAATGTAAGTTAACTGTGATGACACAGGAAACATTAGGGAGTCACATTGTCTAATATGTTCTGTATCATCTGTAACACTACATACATACAAACATATATACCACCCTTGTGGGTAAGCAATGTTATAGCAGATGCAGAAAATCAGTAAGAAAGAGTAATGAAAGGCAGAACATAAGAGAAAAGAAAAACATATCTAACTAAATTTAATTTACACCTATCCCATTCATATATCTCTCCATAACTTTCTGTCTTGCTTTCACTGTGTCCATACATTGATTCATACATTGCCTTTTGTTATTTAAATGTCACAGCGTATCAGTTCCATCCAAGACAACTTTATCTATCTTCTTCTTACTATCAACCCATTCAATCTCCCTTCATATATTTGTTTTGTGACTTAATCATTAATTCATTCTGTCTATAGGACCAAGCCCCTTCAAAACACTTCTTTTGTACTTAAAAACACTAAACAACTATAGGATATTATCTCACTCCCTGTTCAATGTTCAGTCATTAACTAAGCATTCCAATTATTCTCATGCATGCTTTACTTCTATCATATACCACTTTTGTATTGCATCATATCACCCACTTTAGTATTCAGTCCACATTCATTAAACATCTATTCATTCTTCACACTATTTCTTCTAAATTCATATTTCTTGATTAAATCATTCCCACTGCATTCGTCTTCCTTTTAAATTTCTCCTCATACATTCAAGTTACACTTTCTTATAATGAAGTGGATGAAAATATACTACTATAAGCAGCCATTTTTGCTTCTTTAAATAAATGTACATTCCTTGCATACATATTACCCACTGCCAGCATTTGCAAAATTTAAAATGTCTCCATCCATTTCTCTATCTTTAGCAAATATTTGACTAATGGTCACAAATTCAATTACTTGCTGTACTTTTTCACCATTTACAGTGGGGCAAAAAAGTATTTAGTCAGCCACCAATTGTGCAAGTTCTCCCACTTAAAAAGATGAGAGAGGCCTGTAATT